GAGCATTCTACCACTGAACCACCGATGCGTCGGAGAAAAGATGCAAAATCTCGCTAACCATTAAAAATTCTTCACAGAATCGAAATGCAAAACATGCATCGGCCGGGAATCGAACCCGGGCCGCCCGCGTGGCAGGCGAGCATTCTACCACTGAACCACCGATGCGTGGACGAAAGCTGCAAAATCTCGATAACCATTAAAAATTCTTCACAGAATCGAAATGCAAAACATGCATCGGCCGGGAATCGAACCCGTGTCGCCCGCGTGGCAGGCGAGCATTCTACCACTGAACCACCGATGCGTCGGCGAAATATGCAAAATCTCGCTAACCATTAAAAATTCTTCACAGAATCGAAATGCAAAAGATGCATCGGCCGGGAATCGAACCCGGGCCGCCCGCGTGGCAGGCGAGCATTCTACCACTGAACCACCGATGCGTCGGCGAAAGTTGCAAAATCTCGCTAACCATTAAAAATTCTTCACAGAATCGAAATGCAAAAGATGCATCGGCCGGGAATCGAACCCGGGCCGCCCGCGTGGCAGGCGAGCATTCTACCACTGAACCACCGATGCGTCGGCGAAAAGATGCAAAATCTCGCTAACCATTAAAAATTCTTCACAGAATCGAAATGCAAAAGATGCATCGGCCGGGAATCGAACCCGGGCCGCCCGCGTGGCAGGCGAGCATTCTACCACTGAACCACCGATGCGTCGGAGGAAAGATGCAAAATCTCGCTAACCATTAAAAATTCTTCACAGAATCGAAATGCAAAACATGCATCGGCCGGGAATCGAACCCGGGCCGCCCGTGGCAGGCGAGCATTCTACCACTGAACCACCGATGCGTCGGACGAAAGTGCAAAATCTCGCTAACCATTAAAAATTCTTCACAGATCGAAATGCAAAAGATGCATCGGCCGGGAATCGAACCCGGGCGCCCGCGTGGCAGGCGAGCATTCTACCACTGAACCACCGATGCGTCGGCGAAAGTTGCAAAATCTCGCTAACCATTAAAAATTCTTCACAGAATCGAAAATGCAAAAGATGCATCGGCCGGGAATCGAACCCGGGCCGCCCGCGTGGCAGGCGAGCATTCTACCACTGAACCACCGATGCGTCGGCGAAAGTTGCAAAATCTCGCTAACCATTAAAAATTCTTCACAGAATCGAAATGCAAAAAGATGCATCGGCCGGGAATCGAACCCGGGCCGCCCGCGTGGCAGGCGAGCATTCTACCACTGAACCACCGATGCGTCGGCGAAAGTTGCAAAATCTCGCTAACCATTAAAAATTCTTCACAGAATCGAAATGCAAAAGATGCATCGGCCGGGAATCGAACCCGGGCCGCCCGCGTGGCAGGCGAGCATTCTACCACTGAACCACACCGATGCGTCGGACGAAAGATGCAAAATCTCGCTAACCATTAAAAATTCTTCACAGAATCGAAATGCAAAACATGCATCGGCCGGGAATCGAACCCGGGCCGCCCGCGTGGCAGGCGAGCATTCTACCACTGAACCACCGATGCGTCGGCGAAAGATGCAAAATCTCGCTAACCATTAAAAATTCTTCACAGAATCGAAATGCAAAAGATGCATCGGCCGGGAATCGAACCCGGGCCGCCCGCGTGGCAGGCGAGCATTCTACCACTGAACCACCGATGCGTCGGCGAAAGTTGCAAAATCTCGCTAAACCATTAAAAATTCTTCACAGAATCGAAATGCAAAAGATGCATCGGCCGGAATCGAACCCGGCCGCCCGCGTGGCAGGCGAGCATTCTACCACTGAACCACCGATGCGTCGGCGAAAGTGCAAAATCTCGCTAACCATTAAAATTCTTCACAGAATCGAAATGCAAAAGATGCATCGGCCGGGAATCGAACCCGGGCCGCCCGCGTGGCAGGCGAGCATTCTACCACTGAACACCGATGCGTCGGCGAAAATTGCAAAATCTCGCTAACCATTAAAAATTCTTCACAGATCGAAATGAAAAAGATGCATCGGCCGGGAATCGAACCCGGGCCGCCCGCGTGGCAGGCGAGCATTCCTCCCACTGAACCACCGATGCGTCGGAGAAAGATGCAAAATCTCGCTAACCATTAAAAATTCTTCACAGAATCGAAATGCAAAACATGCATCGGCCGGGAATCGAACCCGGGCCGCCCGCGTGGCAGGCGAGCATTCTACCACTGAACCACCGATGCGTCGGAGAAAAGATGCAAAATCTCGCTAACCATTAAAAATTCTTCACAGAATCGAAATGCAAAACATGCATCGAACCCGGGCCGCCGCGTGGCAGGCGAGCATTTACACGAACCGATGCGTGGAGAAAGGAAAAATCTCGCTAACCATTAAAAATTCTTCACAGAATTCGAATGCAAAAGATGCATCGGCCGGGAATCGAACCCGGGCCGTCCGCGTGGCAGGCGAGCATTCTATCACTGAACCACCGATACGTCGAAGTAAGGATGCGAAATTTCGCTAATGATTAAAAATTCTTCACAGAATCGAAATACAAAAGATGCAACGGCCAGTTGAAGAAGAATTCTAAACTTTAGTTAAGATTGGGATCGATTGCATTTTTAAATATTAAAAAAAATATTACTTCAATATAATATAATAAAAAAAATATTACTGTAATAGTCACTTCTGATTTCTCGTATGAGAGTAATGAAGACAAAACTCTATCGCTTAAGTTAAATCTATGTAAGTAATCGATCTAAGCAGACTGATGCCTTCATCGAGAACTTTCTGAAGTAAATCGTTTCATATATTTGTTACACACAGGTAAAATCACAAAAATCATGCGGATATCCCATTCACCCAGGTTTAAACCCGGATCGTATTACTAATTTTTTGTTGTTTTATTACTAGAGTAGTTTGGGAAAAGGAAAGAGAGATTTTGAATTCTATTGGTAATACAAAAACGGATTCTGTTTTGCTTTTAGTCGTTAAGGGAAAAACCAGTAACTTATTACTCGATGCTGAACATGTTTTAAAACTGGTGAATTTTCTCGAACAAGAACACAAGTTCGTCTAGATTTGTGGAGCACAAATTGTCCAACGCATATGATTCTAAGTCGAGAAACTGTGAAACATGATCCTGCTCTTACTGAAAATTGTATGAATCTTTCAACAGGTTACGGAGGACGGGGACGCCTGGTGTTTAACATAGGTAAACAGGCGTATGTCCCGCGCCCTCCACTATCTAGAAACATCAACTCCCTGGAGCCCCAGGAGGCTGCACCGGGAGTTCATTTGGATCTTAAATAAATTTGTTACATGGCCATACAGGGGCTATAACTGATGTAAGACATTGTGTGGGAACGTAGTACATATGTTATATATAAAAATTACAAACAGCCGTTACATAAAACACATTAATATACACATTAAAATTAATTAAAATATGACATGGAACACATAATGCACAAATTACACACACAAATAAATAAATAAACACAAAGAGGGGGGAAATATATCACATATAAACAAAGACTATTAAAAATTCAATATACATAATGCGCTGTGCATAATGCAATACGGGAATGCGTTTAAGTGATATGTAACAAAATGATATGCATATAGTACGGGTTACTTATGTTAAAGGTTGTGCAGTATGCAAGTACGTAGTTTATGCGAAATGCATAGTACAAAAGAGAAAATTAAATACATGCAGATTACATGGTGTACATAATACAGATTGCAAGTACATAATGCAGATAATACAGATAAACAACATACATACAGAATACATAGTACTTTGTGCGTACGACAATAGTGTTACATGATACGTGGGCTTACTTAAAACTAATTAATATATTATACATGATACATATCTTTTGGAGGTGCATAATGCGCAATACAAATAAACTACATACATACAAGATACATAGTGCACTGTGAGTAGGATAATACTGGTACATAATACTTAGGATTATTTAATACTGATTAATATACCATACACAATACTGATTGTTATGGAGATATTACGCTTAATTTGATATGCAGATAGTGATTGACATAGATTATGCACAAGTACATAATGCAGATTGTTAAACATAATACAGATCTTACATAATACATGATACAAGTCGCAGATACATTATAGTCACCTACACTGTGTGTGATACAGGTGCATACTTCATAATACAAATTGCGGGTTATGCGCATTACATAATACAGATTGTTATAGAATTAATATGCTTAATTTGAAATGCAGATATTGATTGACTTATATGGTATGTATACCGGATCAATTGCATGTACTACAAATTGGATATACGTTTGGGTCGCATATGTTGCAGTTGCAACTTGATATGCAATTGGTGCATTATACATAATACAGATTGCAAGTACATAATACAGGTACATAATGCATACAAGTATGTAGTACAGATTATACATAGAACAGAGTACAATTTATACACAATATATTACAGGCACCTGAATCACACACAGTACAGGTACATATTGCATAATATAGATTGCAGATTGTACATAAAATACAGATTGCAAGTACATAATACTGGTACATAATGCATACAGGTACTAGTACAGATTATACATAAAACATAATACAAATTGCAGATTATACACAATACATTACGGGCATTTGAATTACACACAATGCAGTAGATATTACATAATATAGATTGCAGATTGTACATAAAATATAGTATATAAAATACAGATTGCAGTACATAATACAGGTATTACTGGTACATAGTACAGATACATAATACATAATGCAGGTTGCAGATTATACACTGTACATAATGCAGATTGTCGTACATATTACAGTTTAGACATAATACTTAATATAGTTTGCAGATTATACACAATACATTATAGGCAATTGAATTACATATAGTACAGGTACATAAAAAAAAAAAAAAAAAAAAAAAAAAAAAAAAAAAAAAAAAAAAAAAAAACAAATTGGAGATTATACATAATACTTAATACAGATTGTGGTGGAATTATTTTGCTTAATTTGACATGTAGATAGTAGTTAACACATATGATACGTGTATTTCATCTAATGCATGTACTTCAGATTGTACATTTGAGTCACATATGTTGCAGTTGCAAAGAGATTTGCAATATGAGACGCGATTGGTACAAAATACATAATACGGATTTCAAGTACATAATGCATGTATATAAGGCGTACTGGTACATCATACATGTGCGTAATACGTAGTGCAGGTTGCTTATTATACACGACACGTAATGCAGATTGTTGTACATAATACAGATTATACATAATACAGTTCGCAGATTATACATAATACATTACAGGCACTTGAATTACGCATAGTTCTGGTACGTAATACATATTACTGATTGGAGATTATATATATAATACTTAATACAGATTGTTATAGAATCTTTCAACATTAGATTAAGAGTTGAATCTTATCAAAGGCTTATTATTATCCATGAAAACATTGATTCAGATGAGCAGCGAGTAGCAGTTGAAACAGCTGACGGAAGACGGGGATGCTGATGTCTGAGAAAGGTCAGCAGGTATTTATTCCACGTCTTCCACTACCTGGAGACACTAACACCTCCCATGAGGTCACTAAGGACGCTTTATCGAGAATATATTAACAGCAAATTTATACCTAAGTATAGCATATTGTATACAATAAATTTTTATTTTTTACCAGAGCAATGCGCATTGTTATACGTGTGATAAAAGGTGTATATACAATTTATACAATACATAACATAAATAATCATAGGATTTCATTTAAAGTTCTTTGGACAGTTCATCAGCACTTGTTCTGTTGTAATTATCATTTCTGAACTTTATGGATATTCTATTTGACAAATACTCATAGCTAAACTAGTGTTAACTGTATTGCAAATGTTTTTAATTGATGCACGGTTTTTGATAATAAATTTCTTAAAATAGTTCATATTTGAGGACGGTTGACATAATGAATGGCAACTATAAGTGCACAGTAAAAGGGGTAATATTCAGTTGAGCCTTCTAATCCGCAGACGCAGGTACAAGAGAGACGCAAAAACAATGAAAGTAGTTAGAAATAAGGGCCATGTGCCGAAATGGCTATGTGTCTGTTTATACTGACTTCAGGAATGAAACCATAAGTACTTCTTCCAGTTCTTCCTAAATCCCATTCTTTTTACCATTGCTTTATTGCCTTTTCATGTAGATTTCATTTTAGATAATCTTACCTATAAGACTGCATGAGCTTTGACCCATCTGAGAAGTAAGAAACTTATTATATATTATAAAATATATTGGATATTTACTATTAAAATGCTTTACACAGGTAGGACGAATGAATGTTGGAGCATTAAGAGGTATTCGATTTTTCTTCTTCCCGCTGGTTATGCCCGCATTGCTTCTGCATAAAGTGCTATTTTTTCAGCTACTGTGGTGTATATGATTTTTTGAATATGTGGTTACTGTAGATGGCTTCTTGGAACTGACGTATTACAAAAGCTATTGCACTTATTTTGAGTCGAAGGGTACAAATATTGCAATTAAAGTAGTCTTACTGTCGGTGTAGATAAGTTGGATTGTCTGATGCTACCTTAATTACACATTGAATGGCTGTTATAACAGATAATGCTTCAGCTTAAAAAACGCCATTCTGCTGTTTGTGATGACCTACCCAGCTATAAAGCTCGCGTTCGCCCTCTAATTGTAAAAAAGCACTGCAAACTCCTTCAGTAGTTTTGAAGCCATCTGTAAGAATAAGAACAGCTGAATTTGCATAATAATAATTAGGATGTGTGTTCCTGGTCCTTTTAGACCCGGATGTATCTGTAAGATCTTTACAGATCATTAACATTGTATTGAACTGTACGTGATATTGTTGAAGGTAATATCTTAGTTAAATGGTTCTGGAATACACAGCCTCCTGGAATACACACACAGAATAAATGGTTCTGGAATGCAGAATTCAGCTCTCATGTGAAGTGGTATCAGTCCTGTTAAAACTATTGTTGCGTTAGTCGCAGCTATTCGACATGCTTTACACAGGTTCAGGACGAATGAATGTTGGAGCATTAAGAGGTATTCGATTTTTTTCTTCCCGCTGGTTATGCCCGCACTGCTTCTGCATAAAGTGCTATTTTTTCAGCTACTGTGGTGTATATGATTTTTTGAATATGTGGTTACTGTAGTTGGCTTCTTGGAACTGACGTATTACAAAAGCTATTGGACTTATTTTGAGTCGAAGGGTACAAATATTGGGGATCCAGGTAAGTCCATTCTATTTAAGACCGAGATATTTTAATTGTTTCGTAAGTTATTGTTTCTCTAAGAGTTTAACACTGGGGTTTGTTGGATTGGTACCTAGTCTTTGTACCTTTTCTTTGATTTAGAAGAATAACATTAAAATCTGTGATGTTGTGAAATATTATCAAAAGGCCATATGCATATATATTGGTCTTTGGGGGAATTCATTCCGGTTGGAGAAATTAAAAGCATAGGATAAATATTTGTTATGCACGAAAATTAATTGCCTAAATTTAAAACTATCAATCATTCTAAAATATCTCACATAACTTAATATTGATGAGAAAAGTATCCAAACTTTTTTCTTTCTTTTCTATCAGGATTTCAATACAGGAGTATTGGGGATGCCTAAGAAGTACACTGATAATTGCGGACATGAAGACAATGCCAACTGTATGTCTCTTTTGTCTTTCCAACTCTTGGTGCTTATGATAGTCAAGCCTTTTCCAAAGTTTGCGAAGGATGTCATTTGGCCGTAAGTCCAAAAACATTATTATATGTTCTTATGAATAAACTGATAATGCCGAATGTTACTTCAGATATTATCACTCATTTCTAACTGAACTTTTAAGTTGACTTGCGTTTGGCGTTAGATACATTTTATATTAATTTTTTGCAAAAGACGCTCTTAAAGTAAATTGGATGAGCTTTCAAGGTTCGGCATTTCCTTTGATTTTTTTTAGCTTCAATCTTTTGAGAAAAGAATCCTTGATCATCAGAGAATGCAGTTTTACTTATCGAAAGATATTATGTTTGCGAATTTAGAAAGTGAGGAAAGCTAATGCTGAGTTTTCAAGTGAATCTTATAGTAACCGATGGAGAAGTAGATCTAGATCGAAACGCTTTTCAGATCTCATTACTTTACTAATCTGTTTATATTTATATTTTTAAATTATTTCATTTGAAAAAGGTCCACATTTTCTTTAAATTCGTATGGAACCAATAAATAGAATTATTTCCATTGAATTCAAAGTTTTTGTTCTAATAATATAAAATGCATTCTTAAGCACACAAGTTATTGCTTTTAGCCTTAAACAAAGTACCAGCTGCTGAGTTTACCAATAACGTGCAGTTTTTCATTTCGTTCTATTAAAGTTGTAGAGTTATTAGTTTCTTTTTTCTTTTTTTTTTTTAATTTTTTTTTTAAAGCAGAAGATTTGAAAAATTTACAATGCCCTCGCCAGTATCTGTCAAATACGCGTAGAGTATGCTTTCAGTTACACCACGAAGGTATGCGGAAAGGAAGGAGAAAATACGTTATAAAGTAATTTATATTTTAAACTCATATTTAGATTACAAGTATAGGTTGTCATTGCGACAACTTACCGCATCCATATAATATTTATAATTTCATAAGCGATTTAGTTTCATAGAAGGACCGGAGTTCCAGTTCGAAAGGTTATAATAAAAACTTTTTGCTCACACTTCTGTTAATTTTTTTAAATTCTATTTAGAACAAACTAGTACATTTTCTTGCCATTCAACATAGAAACATGAGGTTTTATTTTAACTATAGTGCGGGCCTCAGAAAGAAACAAAAACATTTTCATATTTAATGATGTATTTAAAATATGAGTAAGCACATAAAACTCTTATCCAATACTGTAGGTCTTTTTAAAAATAGAATTAACATAAAGAAATCCTGCTAGTAGGAGAATACCTATTATTTCTTTCCCGACACTTGGCATTCTTTTGCTACAACTAGATTTCAGATATCTGGAGACAAGCTGGCGATTTTTAATGAATGCTTGCTAACTTGGATCTCACTGGGGACTTGTTCTCTTTCGTTAGTGAAAAAACCCGTTCACACTGCTACATACTACCGAATATGTATATCACGTACAAAATTTGGGGCTTTTTGGAAACCACGCGGACAAGTATGTGTTAATTTCAGGAATAGACTTCACTGAATTTCTGCTTTTGAGTTAAGTCGTGCTGAATTTCTATTATTCCATCAGTAAAGGTTTGGGATTTTCTCAGCGTCGGCTAAAATATTTCTGTAAAGAGACCATCTCAAGAGTAATTTTTAGCATCCGAGGTTGTACATATCTCTTGATATGGGTCCGAGATTATATATACGATTCAAAACGGTGTCGAATTTCAATTTGTATTAATATATTATATTACACTTAATTGCATATGCGATTTTTTTTTTGATTGAAACGAGGGGAGATATATGTGTCAAGGGCCGTGTGAGATGAAAGTACTGACATTTATGATACGGCAAGAACTCATTGTAACGTCTGTAGCGACATTCGAAGCAGCAGAAATGAAAAATGAGCAGTGCCCTTACCGGAACTCGAACCACGGACCTCTCAAATACGCGTCGAGCGTGTTGACCATTACAAAACGAAGGCATGCTAAGAAGGCGGGAGAAATACCTTATGCATCTACCATTTGAAATGTCGCGCTTACAAGAAGTAATTCTTAGAAGACAAAGGAACAGTCTGGATATTTGAAGAAGCCAGTCTGCACAGGTTCTTTAATGGATTGAGGCATCGAATTCCTGAATATCTAGATACAATTTGGGATGTTTCCAGTACGTTTTGTTAATAGCGCTACATCTTTCTACATTAAGAGGGATGGGAGACCCTCGGACCTTTCCCTCCGGGGATTGCTCCTATAAAACTGGGGCGGAACTGAGCAAACGTTATGCTGTCATCTATATGGTACACAAGGCTCTTGCCTACGACAGGTGCAATCTTGCTTCCTTGCCGTGCTGCATTTCGTGTGCTTGCTTTGATATTAGACAACCCAGATTAGTCAGAACAACAACATTCCGTATGCATGTTGAGAGCCCGTGTCATGCTTCTGTATGACGTATGCAGGAAATTATAATCGATTTTTAGGAGGCCTGTGTAATGAATCATCCTTTATAATTTACAGATATTTGTGTTAATGGTTAATTTAGATCATTTCACGCTTCTTGCGATCGATATGTTATTTTATTATTATTGATGCTCCCGGAATATCTCTTACGTGAATTCTAAATTTTAGCATTATATCAGTACGGTAATATTTCACGTTGGTATTTAAGTTTTGAATTAAGTATCAATCTTAGCATGTTGCATTAAGTTACAGTAATACGTTAGAGTAATGCGTTTAGAAAAATCTAAATTTTGCTTAACTTGGCATGAGCTAAATTCCTTTTTGCATCGTAAATATTAGATTTATTCAGTTAAAAGGATGACAATGATGATATGTTTTTTCTAGAAATAATTAGAATTGCCTAAAAAATTAATTCATGAACGAAACCGAAATATTGGCTTTCAGCAACAATAATCTGAATTTATCTTTTTAATTGAATGTTTTAATTTACATGAATTTTTAATTATTTAATTTAGCTTAATTATCTCTTAGTTTAGTTTAATTATAATTTTTATTCATCTAACATCGCGATTAGGAATTATTTAGTCTGCATTACATTTTCTGTTTGGCTGTAAGTATTATCATTATTTTATCAATACAAACGCGTGCAACAGCCCGTATGCCAACAAATACTAAATTTTAAATTAAAGCGTATCTTAGGAGAAAATAAAGATATCTCGTCTTCTTCAAAGAACCGTAGAATACATTAAGTGGAGGACGAGTAAAGGCATATGTAATATCTTTCATATAGTTAAATCGCTTTTCGATCTAATTTGGCTTTTCGTTATCTTTTTGTGTTAAAATGTAATTTATAGTTTGAAGCTTTTGAAGAAGCTACCATTCATGTATCTTTAATTACAATAAAATCTTCTCTTTCTAAGTTGGCTGAAGAAAACTCTCCGCCATTGTCGCCTGAATGAGATTGATGACTTTACGACGGATGAAGGTGTATCTAAGCAGAATTATTTTCTTCGCGAGATGCTGAAACCTACCGCAGAAGACTTTAGGCTTGGAGAATTCACAGAAAAGATGATCCAGTACGGGTACCTTGTGGTATGGTATATTTTCTTTTATGCATATTAGATTTGACTTAGATATGATTTGACTTAGATATATTAAATGATAACACGCTAGTTATCATTTTCAACTTTCCCCAACTCAACTCATTTCATCGCATCTGTTCTCAGAAAATATCAACTAATGCAAGTCACAGACTAAAATGAAGGAAGTAAAGTGAAGAAAGTAGTTACTTATTTAACTAACTAAAGAAAAAACTCATAAAATAAATTACATTTGTTCTTTATATTTAGGTGGCGCTTGAGATTTTTTTGTAAGAGCATTTAAGTCGGCTGAGCTGACGTTTGGTAAACAATTAAAATTCCACCTTGGTTAACTTATTAAGGATTTCGTATTTACTTTCTAAGAACTTAAGATAACAGCCCTTAGTCTCTAATCATCTATATTTTAGTTCATTGTCTAATAATTGTAAATGTAGTAAAGTTGAAATTTTACTTTTATAGAATTCTTGTTTGCTTGTTAACAAGCATCGAAATGTATTATGTACAAAAATGTAAGGTGTACACACACAGGTATGTAATTTGTAATATCTGTACACAGGCATGCACCAATTCGGAAATGTTACAAGCAAATATATTTCAGCCCAGTTCGGCCATGTTCTTAACTATTTGGTTATTCAATAAATACTGGACCTGGGCAGTAAGAATGAGCGTCAACCCGGTGGCATTAGATTCGTAGAACTGCCAACCGGACGGTCCAGGCGTTGGGTTTGGCGCGGTGCGAGCCACCCATGAGGCATCACGGGTCATACTCAAGATAAGGGCGGGCGTGACACTATGCTAATTAACTTAATAGTAAAGGGGTGGTGGTCACGTCCTCCGTCACTTGTCACTTGTTTGCTTTAGTTTGTAACCCAAATGGGATTTAAAAATAAATAAAACTGTTTTGTATGCATATATTATGTATTCAAGTACGTAACCGGATAAGGGTAGTAATTAATAAAAAGAAGAAACTATCCATTTATACTTTCATATAAGTAGTATTAGTATCAGTATTAAAAGGGCGCGGCCCCTAGTCTACCTAGCCCAAGGAGGTTAGAATAGACCTCCTTGACCTAGCCGGCGTAAGCCGGCCATATGACTAAAAGGAGAACAGGCCAGTCTAATCAAAAACGAGGGAGCCAGCAGCCCGGCTGCGCCCGCAACTACGCCCCCCAAAAAGACCAAATCAACAAAATTAAGCTAGCTCCAGAGAAACCAGGTCAGGGCTTCGAATAAAAAAGAAGGGGAAAAAAAGAAGTTACTCCCCCCCCAAAATAAAAGACATAGCAAACTCAAAATTACTGTTAGCAAAAAGTTGTAAAACCAATCAATTAAAGCAACACTCACGCAAAACGAGCCTAAAAAATTAAAATGAACAATAAATTAAAATGAACAATAGCATCAAAATGCACTTATATTATTTTTTTTTCATATAAGTAGTAGTGCATTACATTTTTAGTAGAATTTTGTATAACGATAAAGAGCATTATCTAAAAACATCAGAGGAAATGTAGAGCATAAATTGTGCTGAATGTTATTATTACGAATATTTCAAATAAGACCTTCTACAGCGTTCTTCTACTACTGTTTACACACATTTAGAATGATTTCGGGTCCGTTTAATTAATGTATAAATTGAAAAAAAAGAATTTGTTTTAATGTTCAATCTGGTAGACTTTTTTTTCCAGACTCCCGATTTCCATGATTGATGGCTTTTCATAAAATTTCCAGAAGTATTGATTTCCATTTTTCTTCCATTACTTTCCTGTCATTCTATCAGAGAGTTAATCCATTTTCATATATAAAAACTGTTGTATAAAAACATTTAAATAAATATTCTTATATATTTACACTCAGTCTGCCGCATGCTTATATATTTACACTCAGTCTTTCGAAACATTTGTAGAATTTGAACTGCAGCAGAATTTCAGTCTTAAGACATTTTGAAGAAAGTTTCTTTAACAAATTCCACATCAGAGTTATGAAAATGTATTCCAGTTCCCATTTTTCATAAAAACTGTAAATTTGCTACTTTTTTGTTTTGTTTTGTTTACTTCATATTTTTACTGCTACCAGAATACAAAAGGAATATAAAAGTAGCCAGTTTTGACTTAAAAAATAGAAAGAAGGCTCTTACATTGTTGCAAACCAATAGTGTTAAGGAACATTGACATTTCTTTCAAGGAAAGTTTTCACATTGTGACCTGTATGATGAATACTAAATACTAAACAAGGAACAGAGAAACGACAACTTATGCATTATTATATAGAGGATTAAAAGAAGGGGTGCCAAAGAACACGCTAGATGACATGCTGGGCAACCAGGGTAGGTGGGGTAAGATGCCTATCTTCTTCTCCCAATCTCTGGACGGCTAGTGCCAAGCCGAATAGTCGACGATAACAATGATGCTAAAGGAATCACTATCATTTGTTTCTATGAGTCATGATTAAGTTGCGTTTGTGTGTTGAAATTGTCTTCTGTCGATTATGATCGATCAAAAACTGCTTCGACATCGACTCGTTAGACTGCTAACGTTGGTCACCCTTGACGTAAATGACTTTCACCTGATTATTGAACAATAATCCGGCTTGATCTCAGTGGTTTAATATGATTTAAAATTCTATTACAATTAGTCGCTACTCAGTCTGCATAATTGTTAGTGACTCTGACCAATGGCCGAGGTTCGAATCCCGAAGAATGCATGGATGCTTGTAAGGGTACGGTGTCTATGCGGCAAGGGGGCACTCAAATTACACTAGCGATCCGAAATCCTCTCGAAGCTCATGGCAGGAGAAGCAGCCCATAACGTCGAAGCAGTCCCAGTACAAATCCCATGGCCGGTTTCTCATTTAAAACGGAATCTGCGCGCCACAGCTCTAGCACTCTGGCAAGCTGCGTGGGACAACGAAGACACAGGCCGCCGAGCGCATACATTTCTGCCTAAAGTAGATAGGGAACTACTGGTTGCACGGCCACAAATGGTGTATTACATCACAGGGCATAGGCCCTTTCCAGTATATTTTGAGAGATTTGGAATCTCCAATTCGGATCAGTGCTGCTGCGGCGATCTGGGCACAGCAGAACACTACGTTGATGAATGTCCTCTCACGGAGGGAATGCACATTCCGTTCCCGCAGACGAAAAGGGAGGCATTCAACAGATTTATGGTCAAGCAGCGACACCAGACCAACAAAATTACTCATATAATTGATAAGCTAATGGACATGGGTCCAGACTTATGCCATGTGTAAATATAACTGGTCAGTATGTCAGCAAATTTCAATGTAAATCAGTATCATTCAAGCATAAGTAATCTAGGTATGTCTGCGATGTGTGTATATAGTGTGGGCAAGCGTGTCCTAATGTATGTTATTATTATTATTATTATTATTATTATTATTATTATTATTATTTATTTTTATTTTTATTTTTATTGTGCTAAGTGTATATACTAGCTCTGTCTTATTATTCCAAAGCAAATTAAGGTAATGTCATGTAGGTATTTAGAAAGTATATGTATGTAACAGTGTTGGATTGCATGTCAGCAAATATGTATTAACAGAAGCATGTAAATAACTACTAATGTATATCTGCCCTTGTTTAGCCATGTACAATGCTATTCTTGAAGATTCAAAATCACTGGACCCGGGCACTTTGGACGGATGTCTACCCGGTGGCATTTGGTTCGCGGAACTGCCAACCGGATGGTCCAGGCGTAGGGTTTGGGCGCCTTGTGCAAGCCTCCCATGTGGCCTCTCTGGCTTTACTCTGTATAAGGGCGGACGTGGCCCTATATGCTAATTAACTTAATAGTAAAGGGGTGGTGGCCACGTCCTCCGTCACTATCACTGTAATTCTCGATTGAGGCGGAAGCTTAACCAGTTAGCTAAGAACAGTAACACCTCAACTACCAATGATAGTACAGGAATGCTATCCTATAATAATTAATTTGTTAAAGAATTGCACAGATTATTTTTTATCATAAAAAATTACTCATAGCATAGGAAAGTTTTTACGTTAACCTTTTACTCTTATATTGAATTTTATAAACCTGAGTTGCATAATTTGCTCCTGAATAAAATTTGTGACTAATGCCTGCTATGTGCGAAGACGAGGGTGTTTGTATTTTCATAAATCACGAAAGACCAGTCCTGGTAGCAATTAACAAATATGTGACGAATTAATTTTTTGCCGCCAATTGGTAGAATACTTTTGAACTCAATGATTCCTTTTCTTTCCGAAAGATTTTCGCTGCATCGTTTCCTCTGGCTCCAGCACTTGCTTTACTATTCAACATGATTGACTTCAAAATCGATTCCAGACGGTTGCTTTGGTGGAATAGGAGACCCACTCCTTATAGGGATAACGACATTGGTAAGCTGAAGATTATTAATTATTCTCTTATAAGGATATTTATTTATAGAGATTTCCATGGTTTTTTTTCTCCTAACATTGTTGGAGTAACAGAATGGTATTCATTGAAAGGTTATTCTTCTTTCGACTTAATTTCACCATTACAAATTTCTAAAAGTTTTGTTAACAAACTTCCTAATTGATTCTTTTATAACTAACAGAAAAGTCATTTGAACATAAAAGAAAATATTTTTTGAAATAAATATGATTGAGAATCAGAAGTTGGACAATAAAACTTGTTTAGTTGTTGATGTTACCTATTCAAGTGTTTATGAATCTGACTAGGACATTCGGTGAGCCAGGAAAGTGTGTTTCTCGCAATATAATAAATTAAAATAGTCTGCTGATATGAATACTTATTTATAAGTATTTCCTAGGAATCAAATCGAAAGTAATATAGTTAACGTATGACAGCGATAATCAGTTTAAATGGCACCGTTACGGAAATGTATGTTTTTAGCTTTGAGATATCTATATATATATAACTTTTATTGTACAGTTTTTGTTTTGTTAGTGTTGGTATTGGAGATAGCTATTTTAAGTAGCATCATCTAAAAGTTCATTAAAAGTAACTTAGTAGATCCCAATTTTAATTTCGTCTAAGATTCGGTAGAGGCTTAATCTGAATTTTTAAACACACATTGTTTTATTTAAAATAGAATTCAAGCAGTCAGTTAAGAATGGAAATGTTATTGAAAGGGTTATTATTGACTTACTTAGCTCATTGTATAAAATCATTTTATAATTTTATAGAATTAAGTGTTTATATTTAGTCTGAGATATTTCAATGATTGCTAATTCAATAGCCAATCAACCGCCATAAGTTACTGAAATAGTTGAAATCTACCCTCAGGATAACTTTTAAAGGGCAGAATCTATGAAGAAAGTTGGCATTCGAAATTTAGTTGGGAAGTCTTGACATATTGGCACTGCAGATGATGCTTGCAGTTGGGAATTTTCTCATTCCTGAATAAATTCAGTAACGCAAATAATTAAAATAATTTTCCTAGCATCTAATTTTAATTTTTGTCTCATAACCCCGCATATATGATAAACCGGCATCATAAAAATCCTGAATGTTTGGACATTTTACTGTGCTTTATATCTGTAATTGCTGTGTTTTATATCTGTTTGGATATTTTGCTGTGATTTTATGCTGCAATATCAGACTTTTGCTGTACTTTTTGCTGTCATTATCAGAATTTTGCTGTACTTTGAAAGCAATCTAAAATGGCATCACATGCCTTTTCAGATTATGTCACATATTTGTCTAACTTTTGTTACGAATATTATGGCTATAGATTTTAAAATTTTAATTTTAGGTATATGGTTCCATATCATCAACTTCATCAATGTTTGTGGTGTCATCAGCAATGCATTTCTCATAGCTTTTACTTCTGAACTCGGCAGAGAAAGTTCTCTAGAAATCAAATTCGCTATTGTCATTGGATTTGAGGTATTTAATTTACTTACTTAAAAATGTATTATCAAAACTTGTAGAATCAGATAATCAGCGCAGTTTTATACAATTTATCTTATTATTAAATTTTATTATTTTTTATTAAGTATATTTTAGCACAAGATAGATATAAGATAGTTTTTAGATATTTAGATATTTAGCACAAGATAGTTTTTAGATATTCCTTAGCAAAGTAGGCATTTCTTTTCGTCTGAAACATATACTTCAAGTTCTTTTCAATAACAGTTAACTTGTAGTGTTAAATCTTGAAGTCATATAATTGAAATAGTCGTCCGAAGACTATCTGTAAGTATAATAAGCCTGCTTCGAGTAACAGGATTCATTACTCTCAGATGTAATTTTATTTTTTTTAAAGTTAAGAACTTAGTTAAATAATGGAAACCATAATATATTATAATATATCTATATAATCTTATAAATTTTACCTTTTAATCTTGTACTTTTATCCATATTATATTATAATTTTAAAAGAAGTAATGTATTAAAATTTTATTGCAGCATTTCGTGTTCCTCATGAAATATGCTATTTCTCTACTCATACCAGATGTTCCTACTTGGGTTAAGAATTCTTTGAAAAAGGTAAGTATCTTTCGAATTAATTTAATTAATATAAATCATGTAAATTGTATGGCCAGTTTATATTTGCGAACTCTTAGCTTTTCGTGAAGGTCAGCGTTTCCTTTCAAACTATGTACTGTGGTGACGAAAGTCATGAGATACCTCCTAATATCGTATCGGACCTCCTTTTGCTCGGCGAAGTGCAGCAACTCGACGCGGCGTGGACTCAATACGTTGTCGGAAATTCCCTACAGAAGTATTGAGGCATGTTGCCTTTATAGACGTCCGTAATTGCGAAAGTGTACCGGTGCAGGATTTTGTGCAGGAACTGACCTCTCGATTATGTCCCATTAATGTTCGATGGGATTCATGCCGGCTATGTAGATGGCCAAATCATTTGCTGGAATTGTCCAGAATGTTCTTCAAACCAATCGTAAACCGTTTTGGCCTGGTGACATGGCGGATTGTCATCCATAAATATTCCGTCGTTGTCTGGGTACATGAAGTCCACAGATGGCTGTCACTTATCGGTTCAGTTTGACCAGAGGACTCAGTACATGCCATGAAAAAACTGCCCATACCATTATGGAGCCACCACCAGCTTACACGGTCCCTTGTTGAGAACTTGTGTCCGTGGCTTCGTGGAGTCTGTGCCACACTTGAAACCGACCATCAGCTCTTAGCAACTGAAATCGTTACTCAACTGACCAAGCGACAGTTTTCCCTTCGTCCTAGGGGCCAACCGATATGGTCACGAGTCCCCGAGAGGCTCTGCAGGCGATGTTGTTCCGTTAGAAGGCACTCCATTCGTTCTTCTGCTGCCATAGCTCATTAAAACCAAAATTTGAAATGAAATAATGAACAATCTAGAGAAATGTATGCATTTTTCCCGCATTCTGAGAAAACAACAGTACCTACAGCCATTAAATTTTCGACAACATAGTCCTGCACACGAAATGGGCAAATGGAAGTCGGAATTTTGAATTTCGATTTCTTTTATTAGCTATTTCATATTTTGAAAACCTTCAACGAATTTTTGATTAAAAATCTCAACGATTTCAAAGCAAGCAGTGGCAACACTGTAAGAAATAAAACACTTTTATCGCCAGCGTGCGAGACTGTCTATTAGAAATTCTAAAGATATGCTGTTTTCGGCTGCTTCAAGCTTTTCTAATTAGCATCTAAATTGGCAGATAGTTAACTTATTGAAACCTCCCTTTACGAAATGCAATTTTTTTACTTCAGTTGTTATACTTTACAGCAATAACAATAAAAAAATAGCAAAACTAACTAGTGTAATGAATAAACCTGCATTTAAAATTTTCGTTCTCATCGTTCATTGTGGAAATTTCGTTTTGGTAATATTTCAGTTGAAAATAGATTTTACGTAATTTTAACAATGTGGTAGTGCCCCAAATGCAGAAAACATAGTAATAAAATTTTCCTTTCGATGATCAGATTTGTTTTATATTGTAGATATTAGATGTGACGCATTGGAATGTTGAATGTAAATTAAATATACTGATAGAAAATATTTTTAAGTTCTAAAATAAAATTACTCTCACACAATTTTGTCTAATTTACTTTCAGGAACGTTATTTGGTTTCCTATCTGATGAAACGAAGTAAAACAGATTTGGAAAAGCTGTCTCTAAAGCCGCAAGTAAGTGGGAAAAATGGTGAAGACTCAAAGGATGGTGACATACAATTAAATATTATGGAAAAAGGCAGCGAAGAAAGGTTACCCACATCCCGATGGAGCTATGGCTGAAAAAATATAAAGTGTTTCGTTATATTATGCAGTTGTGCAAAAATGAAATGGAAGTTTTCTGCTTAGTTTAAAAACCTCGCAGCATCTGAAAGAAAAGGCTGTGAGAAATCTGAAAGAAAAGTAACGTTCAGCAAGCAGCAAATTTCAGTATTATTTATTATCAGCTTTTCATTTTGAACTTCTGTACTCAAGTAATTTAAAATTTAAGTGCAATATGCCATAATGTCCCGCGTTTATTTAATAAACATCATTTTTCTATTTTACTATCGCCCATTTTTAAACAATGAAACTGCTTTATTTAATTTGTAGTTTAGACATTAGCAGTTGCAGATTGAAGAACTGCATTTTATTTTTGTCAAGTGAATTTAAAATATTTAGTACTCATTCATTCTGTCATTACTATTTATAATGGCCTGTTGAGGAAGTATGGCTCATTCATAATTATTTTTTAATTAGTTGAAAGGGGCTTCTTCCCTGAGGGACAATTGTTTTCGTTTTGCGATTTCCGGTCGAATCACTCTGAATGTCCGTTTCACTTTTCAAACTGTTGCCACCAAATATTATCGCCCTGTATTATATTTGAAGAAATTAAATAATGAAGAATCTGTTTAAATGTATGTATGTTTCTCGCATTGTGATAAAACAACGGTACCTAAAGTCATCCAATTTTGAGTGACGTAATCTGACTGCGAATATGGACATCTGGAAGCTCAAATTTGATATTTGGAATTTGTTTCATTATCGATGTTATATTTTGTAAAACTTTAACGAATTTTTGATTAACAATCTCAAGGATTTCAAAGCGAGCAATGGCAACATCGCACAGAAAAAATATTCTTATCTCCAGCGCGTGAGGATGTGTATCGGAAATTCTGAAGATATGCTCAGTTTAAAATTATTTTGCGATATTGCTCTTGTACTGAATTTTGTGGTTTAAATGCGAAGAACATGATATTTAATAAATAAAGGTAACATAAAAAATGTTTAAAAAAACGCCCCTTTTGGACGGTATTTAAAATCTGAAACCTTTCAGATTTTTTTTTTTTTTTTTTTTTTTTTTTTTTAATTTAATTTTATTTTTAGTACCTAAGTCTCGATCTCCACATTTTTGTCTGCATCGCTTTTCAGTTAAAAGGGTCATGTATTATTTTTAAAGAAATATTGTAACGAATGTAAAAAAAGTATGGCAACACGAATAGAAGTAAGTTGTCACCCAGTCTTTTTGCCATGTATTATTTTTAAAGAAATAGCAAAGTGACTACAAAAAATCTGTGGCAACACTTAATATTCTGTTGGGAATTATAAAGACATAATGTTTTTTGAATATTTTGTGAATTTTCTGTTGCATTTTATGTGTCGTAAGTTTGAAGAAAATAATGTTTAATAATAAAGTTGAAAGGACAAAAATAAATAAATGTTTTGTTATAGAAGTAAGTCCAAGAGCAGAGTGGTAAACGATTGATTGCCCCAAGAGAAGATTGGTAAGCTCAGAGACAACACAAAAGAAAATTCTTAACAAACCCTCTGATACCACGTTAAAATACAGTTTTTTTTTTCTTTTTTAAGGAAATTTGTTGATGATAAATTTAATAAAGAATGCGATGCTATTCAGTGTTAAAATTCTGTTTAAGATTCAGTGTTAAATTTCTGTTGTTAAAATTCTGTTTGCCGTTAAAGACTAATTTAACGGCATATTCTTGATGTTTGAAAAGATCTATACCGCTTTTGTTTTCCCTTTCTCTCTCTCTCTTTTTTATTTATTTAATTTTTTTAATATCGTCACATATTAAAAAAAATTAAATAAAAAAAGAGAAAATTAATAACTAAAAAAGAGTCTCTCTTTTTATTTATTTAATTTTTTTAATATCGTCACATATTAAAAATTAAATAAAAAAAAGAGAATTAAGAAAAATAAAATTTTTTTTTAATTTTTTAAAATCGTAAAATTAAAAAATTAAATAAAAAAAGAGAAATTTAATAAATAAAAAGAGAAAATATTAAATAAAAAAAATGAAAAGATTTAACATCACAAGTTTAAGTTTTTTTTTTTTTGTTTGTTTGTTTGTTTTGTTACGATACATTACCAGGATATTTAACATCCCGATAGATCTGATAGTTATTTCCATCAATCTTCGAAGGGTTGCCATTCTACGCTCCATAAGATCTTTCAAATTCTAACTATTGTTTTAATATTCAAATTATAACTAGTGTTGTTTCAGAAGTTAGGCAATTTAAAAGTCTTCATAACTTAGATATTTCTTACACATTTTATATAGAAAATTATGTGCTGTTGGAAATATAAGAATTGAAATATTTAATAATTAAAAAATTTAGCAAATTATTAAACCATTTATCTGTTGTAAATTTTTGAATGAAAATGAATATTAATGAAATTTTGATTATTTCTTCCTATCTCTAAACCTTTTAAAATATTTTTATAAAAAATTAAATCTTTCCGAGCAAATATTGGCATTATTAAGAGCTTCTGGATTAGTTTATGAAGTAAATGAATTTTTTGCGTAATTTAACTTAGAACTTTACGAAAGAGTTTGATAAAATTAGTTCGTTTGCCTAAAATTTATTCAAATTCTGATTAGCATTTGACTTTAGATTTGATAATATTCTTTTTAAATAAGAAATTTTAAGCGTTTTAATGGCATCAATATATTTATACTCCTTTCCTCTACGCGAATTATTTACAGTAGGAAAAAACAAATATGCTGCTGTGAAGAAATTTTAAATGAAGTAGTGAGCATTTTGTTAGTAAAATATTCTTCCTGTTTCTAAAAGGATTTTATTGTTCAAAATGTTAAAAATAATTTTCAATATGGGATAACTATAAAAATGAAAAAAACAATTAGCTCATGACTTGTTTTATTCAAAATATTTTGTAAATAATTTAAAAAGCATAATCGTTTAATTTTTTAGAATAATTTTTATAACTTAAATATAAAAAATTTAAGTTGTTTTAAACTTATGAAGTTAATTTACATAAGGTTTTGTAAATTCTTGAAAGAAAATTAATCTAACGTGTTTCATTATTTGTTGATGGTCCTCTTTTAATTTTCCTTCGTGTCTTCATTAAAGAATTTTAAATAGCTTCCAATTAGGATCAATTCAGTTTTGCGCATTTCATTTAAGTTGTTGCTTAATGTATTCCATGGAACTTTGTTATGATAAATATTGTCTATGCTGTTGTACTTATTATCATATTTTTATGAATGTTATCTGCATTGTACTTATTGCATTTATATACCTTCACAAATAATGTCAGAATACTATTTTTCACTTGTCATTTTCCAAATACTGTGTTGTACAATTTGTTCCTCTTTATAAATGTTATACAGCACACTTTATACAGATGAGCTTAACTTATGTTTTTGTAAATAGATGAGTTTAACTCGTGTTTTTGTAAACATCATGCCATTGACTGTTCCTTGCACATTGAAGCTTGTTATGCAAATACTGAGACTTGTTTTAATGAGATCTGAATTATCATGTCGTTTATACTTTTCATATATTTCTTAATTTAAGCATAATTTAGGAATTTGTAATTGTAAACATCACCATCTAGTCAGATTTTGACTTTCATTTTACTTTTTTGGAAAAAAAAAAAAAAAAAAAAAAAAAGGAAATGTAAGCTTGTCTTAGGCGTCACATGTAGCCAATAGAAACGAAAAGAATGTTTGTGTATGAAGAAAACTCATGAGTGCATTTAAAATTTATTGTTTTGCTTCATTGCATAAGAAATTAGAAACATATATTCATTGACGCGGTTTTTTTTTTCGGGGGGACTTAATCTATCAATCAGACAATTCCTTGTCCCGAAAAGTTTTGCCTATTGCTCAGTGTCTCTATTGAAAAAAGTATTTAACATAAAATCAACATGTTAAGGCTGAAGCAAATAATTAATCATACATTGCATCATAATTCGAAATAATTAAGTTCAGCATTGAATTGTTGCGCCAAAATAAAAAAAAAAGCATCATTGAATATTAAACTTATATGCCAAGAATTAACAATTAATCTATTTTTCAATATTGGATGGATTCCTTACATTCTTCAGGAAAGCTTTGTTTCTGAAATTCTGGAAAATTGTCAAAGATCAGTTCCTTATTCACGTAAAAATTTGGCTCTGAGTGAGCCTAAACTACATTAAAAAAAATTGCTTTGCCTTACAGTTTCAGACAAGTGACGTAAATGCGAAACTATATAAGTCGAGATTGCGTAAATCGGGGTATTAATGCACAGTAATTGAGAAGCATCTCGTTAAGGTCAGGAGGCAAACAAGGTTATGCTCTTTCCAACGCTCGAGTTCAGTGACATCACTTGACTTACAGAAGTGTTAGAAATGAAGATACATTTAGGTCAAGATAGTAGATGCTTTGGTGCAGATTATGAGTCAGTGACGTCACACGCTCAAAGAGTTCTAGTCGAGAAGAGCAAACATTGTAGTAGTACAGTAAACTTACATGCGTTATCTTCAATTTATTGGGAATTATCAATAATTTTCATGGAAGCACAAGTATTAAATTTTCAGCACTTTTGTATTAATGCCATTTCTCTAGAAGACCCGCACTAAAAGACTTTACACATCATCCTTCTCAACTTATTACCACCTTTATTTTGTGCTATTCAGCTTTATAAATATTTTTATGCCTTGAAATTTGCAAATGAATATTTCTGCCAGTCATATATGTAACCAAAAGATGCCAGTACATTAAGTGCTATATAATGTTGTTAAAAGTTATGTACATAGGAATTGCTTTATCTGTGCTTTTATATGGTGTGATATTTATTGTGATGTAAGGGTCATATAGAGATCCCAAAACTATTTTCATCAAATATATTTCAATTTACAATTTGTGTTTTCAGTGTAATGTCCGCACAAAAGATATGTGAAAGCAACTGCTGTTTTTCAGATTTTTCTTTGTCAGAAATATGGTACAGAATTCAATAATTTCTTTTGTTTTCAATAAACTACAACATTTGTACAATTTTGTATAAACTGATTAAATCTTGATGGCAGAAATTAAACTGAAGTATTTTATAATTATGTTTGGAACTTTTCTTAACACAGTTTAATGCCATGCATTACTAATATTGAATTTAGCCTATATCATAATTATAACTAAATCATAATTATTTATGTATACAATCGGAGTTTAGGTATTTTTCGTAAATTCAAAATAATTAATTTTCTTAAGTGTTCCTCACTAAATTTTAATATCCCAACAAACGCTAATTCTTGGTAACACTAAGT